CGTCCGGAGGATCGTCCTTGATGCAGCTCTGGGTACGAAGAACAGCGCAGCGCGGACGTCACGGTGAGTACAATTACTTGAAACGAAGAGTATAATTCGGGGTTGTATTTAAGGCCACGGCACGCGTCCCGCCCATATCCGGCTGGGCATTTCCGGCTCGGATTCGACGGGACTCGTGGCGAGGAAAGAGAGGATGGTACACGAGTCGGTCGCGCGAGTTGGCTCGCACCGAAACACCGCATCTGTACGGGTAAATACGCGTGGACACGCCCGTCGCAATTACACGAGTGCCTGCGAGTATAATGAGCCGTGCGTTTCATTGTGATTTATGCGTTGGCCAGCTTGCCTCGTGTCAAGAAACCGCCTCCCTTGTTCTCCGCGCTGTAAATTCGCGACGAACGGGCCAGTGAATCGTGCCAGCGGTCAAACTCCTCGCGCCATCGCGACCAGATTATACGTTTGGGGGTTGGAGGCGTTGGTGGATCTCATGGTCGACGGGATCTAGATCCTTTTTTCACCTCGTGCGCTAGTCTCTGTTTAAGGATCATGGGAAGTTGACGGATTAACGCCTTGACTGCCACGTTGGTCATATATGACCGGTCACGGTTTCTTCCGTGAGGCCACGGTGGTCATCGGTGACATAAGGATCGCTTATATGCTTTGGATTATAAAAATACTCGCGTGTGATTTCGGCGTGGCAGTCAAAGGGCTAATAGACACCGTATGCGTCAGAGCTAAACGTTTGACAGCTGTTTCGGGTATTCTTTCGCGTTGTTACGAACTCCTACGCTCTATCTCGGTATGCGATCTAATGACAGTATCTGGAGCCAACAACGACCCCGGAGGTGCGTGTAATTCTCTTTCGACAAGCGCTCTCGAAATACATAATTCTCGCGCGAAATATGATTCATCGGCCTAGAAAATTCCTCATAAATCCCCGGTCCCTTATCTCCGGCGGTGTCATTAATCGCTGGAGCACGGCGAAAGAGAGACAAGAGATCGGATCGTTGGCGGAACGCTCTCCATCCCGGTCGATAAATCGGCCGGGCTAAACAACTCGTCAAAACCGTGACGCATGACCTGCACGACATGACAGGCGTCATGGGCATCGCGTGTCGCGTTCAGTCGCTCTAATACTATTCGGTTCCATGTATTATTCAATCAGCCAATAAGGAAAACACGCCATTCGTGCCCGACTCGATCCCCGCGCTCGTGTTCGTGATACGCGTACCGGAGGAGGGTGCTGGTAAATGAACTCGCGATCGTGGAAAATTGTCCACGACGGGGTCTATCGAAGGTTAATCACGCGGATTGAGCGGTCGAACGGTGACAGCTCGCCGGACGAGCAAAGAAACGTCCCGAAAAAATACAAAGGCGTCGATGTTCCTCCGTCTCGTGGTGACCAACGCCGCCGTTTTATCGCGTTCTTTTCGTATAGGGATACGGAACTCTGAATTTTTGGTGTTAATCTCGACGGGAATGAAGTGTAGCACCGATTCGTCCTATTTTCCATAATTAAATCTCCGGCACGACGATTTTCCCGCGCATTCGTTCGGGCATAGGCCCACCCGATTCTCCCGAAAGCTCCGAATCACCGTGAAAATAACGACGACGACGACGAAACGAAATAACGGAAGGGGGGAGAAAAGAAGCGACGATAACGTCGTCAGCCCGCGACAGCTAATCCAGTGACCAGACTCGGGCCGGCCATTACGGCGTGCTGTCCATCGTTAAGAAGAAGTCGCGTCGTGAATGGGCCCGGCGTAATAACGAGCTCCTTACATCCAGATTACACGTGCGCCACGGTACGTAGTCCGCAGCGGCCGGCTTACAAGCGCTATAAAGCAATAAAAGTCGATTTGCCTGGTGAATACCGAGCAGGTGATATATCGCTGCTTAGCGCCCACGTAACTAAGGAGCACATCGACCGGCACGGAGAAGAGGGTACCGTGCCGCGCGATCACGTCCGTTTTCGTTTATTTTTTCCAGCACGGATTCGCGCATACACTCATGGCCACGACCGCAGACTAGGTGGCCGGCCGGGCGAATTATCGAATCATCGGGCGGACGTTCGAAACGCTCGCCGAGACGCCGCGATATTCCTCGACGCGCGATACCTGATTATCTCGCTCGTCAATCTCGCCGGCTTTCCGTCGACAAATTGATTCCCCGCTGATTACCCGATCCCCCGGGACGATCGCTTATTACGCCAGGCTAAATACGTAATGGACGACGAATGGCAGAAAAGCTAAGAGGCGAGGATGGCCGGAAACGTAGCCGTGAACTAAGTGCCACTTTATTAATAAGCTGAATCTTTTTGCCATGTTCTGCACCTCTCTCAGCTCGCTC